AACTTTGTTAAAAAGCGTACCGCTCGTGTTGTTTTACCACAATAAAGCTTTTAAGAGTAATTTTCATGACATGAAAAATATATGAAATTAAAACTGCATCCATACATAAAGTTTACTGGAGCACGGACATGCCCATTCATTTTCCTGATAGCTGCTTTCAAGCCACAATGACAGTAATGAGTAGTTGCAACTGGGACATGGGGCCTGCAGAGCCTAAATATTGACTATCCGACCCTTTACAGGAACGGTTTGTGCATACTTGCTCTAAACCACTATGTATGCTTCTCATTAATAATTTTATCTGTGTGGGGGAAAAAAAAGATGGACCTGACCCAAAAATACAAAGGCCTTGGCTGCAGGTCTGGATGCATGGCTTATTTGTTTGGGGACCTCACTTCCTTATCTGTAAAATGGGTATATTGTCCACTTGCGGAAGTTGCTGTGACGGTCAGCTGAGCTAAGATATTCCATAATACTAAGAGCGTATGTTCATTCATTACGAGTTGTCTGGAGCCCGAGGAGCCGCTGCCACCCACACCCGCTGCCTTGGCCTTGGAGGGAAGCCTGGTGCTGAGTGCCCACTCGAGGGAAACACGCTTTTGCCTGGGGCTGAGGCTGGCGCCTCCGCAGACACTAGCTGCTCAGTCGGTGAAGCTTGTGGATGCCTGCAGGAATCACCTGGGGCTCAGAGGGTGCCTGCCAGAGGGAGCCAGATGCATCTCGGGGTCCCGGCTGTGGCTTCTCAGCCCTGTGGAGCTGCGCAGGCCAGGAGCTCCTGGGTAGAGCCTGACTCCTGGGCGCCGGATTCTGGAAAACACGCCTGGGCCTGCGTGGCCCCCACCCGTCTCACCCTCCCGCTCACAGCTCTGAATTTCAGAGTCCTTCCTCATGGCTCTCCCCAGGGACCCCAAACACAGTTTGCCCATATCTGAACTCGGCCTTTTGCCCAGCCCAGGCCTTCTCTGTACCCTTCCCCCAACTGCCCAAACCAGAGACCAACAGGGATGGGGTCACCTACCCCTCCCATCCCCCACGTCCACCCAGTGGCTGTGTCCTGGCTGCCACTGAGCGTCATTGGATGCCGCCCCTGCCACCTTGGCCCAGGCCCCCAGGTCTCTCCCTTAGATACCTGGGTGTGACTGAAGCCCTGTGGCTGGAGGGATGGGCAGCTCTTGTTGGCCCGCCTGGCACTAACTGCCTGCCAGTGGAGCAGCGTGGCAGCTTTAGAGGCAGGTGTGTCATGTGGCATTGTGGAGCCAGCAGAGGTCGGGGAAGACTTAGCCAAGGAGTGGCCACTGAGGAGGACAGATAAGGAGGGGAGCTGTCAGACATGGAGAAAATCTGCCTCGCCACCAAGACAGTCCTGATTCTTAGTTGAATGGTGACAGAGAGCTGGCTGTGCACAGGACACTGTGGCAAGAGCTTCACATCTATCAGAGCTTTAACCCTCCTGTCAGTCTCGAGAGGCAGGTATCGTAATCACCCCACACACACTTCCAAACATGAGACTCTGGGAGCCCCTGACCTACCCTCCTGGCTCTCATTCTTCCCCTGGCCTGAGCCATTCCCTGGAGGTAGCCAGTATCCTGGAGCTTCTTCCCACACATACCTTTATTATTTCATCCCATATGCAGATGTCTCAAACAATGTACGATGCTGTGTGTGTGTCCTTAGACTTTTCATGAATGATACCATATACAAATCCTTCCACAACCTGCTTTTCTCACCCAATATAACGTTGTAAGATTTATCCATGTTTGATCCGTGTTCATCCACGTAGCTCTGTTCTTTTTCACTGCTTTGTAATCCCATTATGTATCTTCTCCTAGGAATGGAGTTAATGGTAGCTTTATTTTTAAAAAAGTTTAACCACAGCCAAACAGGCATATAGTTCTAGGATGAAGTAGTGAAGATGAGTCTGTTATGAAGAGCAATGGGGGCTTCCCACCCCACTGGCGGGTGGCAGCAAGTGTCTACTACTGGCGGTTCTACCTCGTTCTCATGCCATTTCTTGATTTGACCCCTTCAGGCCCTGACTGTTGATGTCAGGGTACAGAGCTTTGCACCATTTTTAGATCCACTGTAAGTTACTTTTGTCATTTTAAGAACTTTTCTAATACCTTTAGATCATGTTCCAAAACTATAGCAGCAGCTCTTTGATTTATGTAACATGTATTATTTTTATGTAATACATTCTATAGAGCCCCCTTATAAAATTGTTTTTACTCCCCAAAATTAATCCATAAACAATATTCAAGGACCAATATATAAAGTAGCAAGTAACTTTCTCTGCTTCTCTCCTCTTCCCAGTCTTCAATCAGCATTTTGATATCCTTCCAGATTTGTCCTTGATGCTCAAAAATACATGAGGTTAGAGTTTGGTTTCTCCTCTTCACCCTCCCTTCCCTCTGCCCCCCCCCCCAAAAAAATAGAATGTTTCTGGGTTTGACTCTGTTGCTTGCTCTTAGCCTTAACCATGTGTCTTGGACAACTTTACACATCCCTTTTTAATGTCTGCACAGCATTGCATAGTATGGAAGCAATGCCACCAGGTGTGTTGGCTCATGCCTTAATACCTATACTTTGGGAGGCTGAGGCAGGAGGACTGCTTGAGATCAGGAGTTGGAGATCAGCCTGGGCAACCACTTGCTAGCTGTATCTACTTGGGCTAACCACTGTTAGATACTCAAGACTGTCTGTAGAGACCCTGTCTCTACAAAATAAGAATAAAAATGAAAAATTAGCTGGGTGTGGTGGCACGTGCCTATAGTCCTAGCTACTCAGAAGGCTGAGGCAGGAGGATCACTTGAGCTGAGGACCTCAGGGTTACACTGAGCTATGATTGTGCCACTGCACTCCATGTCTCCTGAGCGACAGAGCAAGACCCTGTCTCTAATATGTACTTGTGTGTATAATATATATACATGTATACTATTAAACATATATCCTCCTGCTGGTCACTGCAATGTTTTTGTTTTATAAACAATATTGCAGTGGCCATTCTTGTGCATATGGATATAGTGGATGAGTGTACCTGAAAGAGTGTCTGTAGATGTGTGAATACATCATAGTATATGTATATATGTTGTATACTTCAGGGTGGAAGCTGTAGCTACCTCTTCACCTTTTTTTCAGGAAAATAATCACTTTTTTAAAGTAATTGTTTTGGGCAGAGCTGCTTTCTAGCAGAGGGTATGTTTCAAGAACTCATTACCTTCAAGAAAGATTAGCAGCTAAATATTTACTAAATTCAGGAAGAGTTGTGTGGGTGCTATGGCTCATGTCTGTAATCCCAGCACTTTGGGAGGCCAAGGTGGGAGGATCACTTGAGCCTGGGAGATGGAAGCTGCAGTGAGCCATGATTTCACCACTGCACTCCAGTCTAAGCAACGGAGCAAGACCCTGACCAAAAAAAAAAAAAAATTAAGAGTTTAGGCAAATCTCAACTTCTTAGCTGAGCTTTTAAAGCCTCCAGTTCTGGCTATTTACTTTTCCTCCAACTCTTCTCTCCTCTTGCCCAATATGTAAGTCAGTTCCTTATTTTCCTGGAGACATTACTGCATCCCCATCCCTTTTTTTTTTTGTGCTGCTCCTTATATCATTTCTGCATTTTACCCTCTTTCCAAGGAACCAGTTGCCATCTGCCCTCTTTTCTATTTTTAGGACACATGGCAAGCACATTCCTGCCTCAGAGCCCTGTTATCTCTGCCTGGAACTCTTCCCTGGATCAGTGATTCTCAATCCTGAATACCCATTAGAATCCCCTGGGGAGTTTTTAAAAAGTCTGACACCTGAGCCAAACCGCAGGCCAATCCAACCAGAATCTCTGGGGGTGGGCCCAGGTATCAATAAGCTCTCCAGGGGATTCCAGCAAAATCCAGTGACATATATCTTCCTATGCCCAGCTCCTTCTTATCATTCAGGTCTCAATTCAAATGTCACCTCCTCAGAGAGGACCTACCTGACTGCCCCAGCTAAAATATGCCCCTCACCTCAGCTCCCAGTTACTCTTGGTTACATTTCTCTGTTTTATTATATTTCCTTCATCTGTCACACCTTTTAACTACCTTGGTTCTTTATTTATACACGTGTCTACTCCTGCCCCACTGTAGGCACCCCAGGAACTTAGGGATATACCCACCCTGCGTGACAGTGTCCCCAGAGCCTTGAAAAAACTTCAGATTTATGAGCCAAGACTCTGTGGTACTGGGTCCAACATTTACTAGCTGTGTGCCATTGGGCAATTTACTTAGCTTCTCTGTGCCTTAATTTCCTGTTCTGGAAAATAAGGATTAACATCATACCTACTTTCTATAGTTATGTCAGAATTAAGTGAGCAAATACAGGTAAACACAGAACAGTCCTTGGCACGTCGTAAACACTCAATAGTGTTAGCTATTATTCTTTTAATATCTTTTTCTTTTTTTTTTTTTTTTTGAGTCAGCACCCAGGCTGGAGTGCAATCATGCAGTCTTGGCTCACTGCAGCTTCCACCTCCTGTGTTCAAGTGATTCTCTTGCCTCAGCCTTCTGAGTAGCTGGGCTACAGGTGCTCACCACCACGCCTGGCTAATTTTTGTATTTTTAGTAGAGATGGGGTTTCACCATATTGGCCAGGCTGGTCTCAAACTGACCTCAGGTGATCCACCCACCTCAGCCTCCCAAAGTGCTGGAATCACAGGTGTAAGCCATCCCACCCAGCCTATTCTTTTAATATCTATCTTGAATGATATATTGCAATTCCTGCCCTGTTCTCCCTACCCACTTCTCTGCTTTATCTCCAATGAGCTTAGCACCATTTGCATCATTTGTCTGGCATTTCATTTATTTTACTTGCTTATTTCTTGTCTGTCTCCTCCCTAGACTGTCAGCTGCACAAGGGCAGAAATTGTTTCGTTCACTGTTGTGTCCCCAGTGCCTAGCACGGTGCCTGGCACATAGCGGACACCAGTATGAATACCTGGCTCCTCACCTGTTCTCCTTTCTCTCCCCACCCCACAGGATTACCTCACAGACCTCATCACCAACGACAGCGTGAGCTTCTTCCGCACATCCAAGAAGATGTACCCGCACAGGCCAGTCCTCATGGTCATCAGCCATGCAGCCCCCCACGGTCCTGAGGATTCAGCCCCACAGTATTCACGCCTCTTCCCCAATGCATCTCAGCACATGTAAGCCTCAGCCCTCTGCCTGCCAGAGGCACTGCTTAGCATGAAGGGGAAGGGTCAGGCTTTAGCAACAGTACTGTCACCACCATGACTTCACTCTGCCTTCTCTCTAATCCTCCTGGTTGAAAGACCCCAAGAACATGCTGCTTGTCCATGGTGAAACTGGGATGCAATTCCCCACAGACCAAGGCAGGAGAATTTTTAACTTGAGATACACGGCCTCCCACCAAGAGGTCTGTGGATGGAACTGCGTAGAATAGGTTTCCTTTTAATGCCATGTGTATTTTATTTAAGACATCTGAAAACATTCTTTTGAGTAAGGGGTTTATAGTTTTACCAGACTAATGATTTGCCACCATTTATTGAGCCGTGGGCTATGTAGCAGGTGCTGTGCTAAGCCCTTCGCATTGTGTCCAGTCCCTGAATACTCACAATGACCCTTGGTGTACCAGTTATCTATTGCCATGTGACAAATCATCCCAGAATCTAGCAGCTTAAAACAACAAACACAAATTATCTCATGGTATCTGGGAGTGGCTCTTCTGAGCTCCTGGCCCAGGGTCTCCCGAAGTTGCAGTCAAGCTGTCAGCTGGGGCTGCAGTCACCTGAGGCTTGACTAGGGCTCAGTCCCATGGCTGGGCCTTGCCACATAAGCCTCTGTCCATAGGATGTTTGAGTGTCCTCACAGCATGATAACTGGCCTTGCCCACAGCAGATGATCAGAGAGTGAGGCCAAGAAGGAAGCCGCATTGTCTTTTACAACCTAATCTTGGAAGTGGCGCCATCACTCTGCCACATTCTGTTGGTCACACAGACCAGTCCTCCTACAACATGGGAGAGTCTGCGCAGGAGTGTGAAGGCCAGGAAGGTAGGGATCATCGAGGGCCATCTTGGAGGCTGCCTGTCACACTTGGTGTTCCCATTTTACAGATGAACAAACTGAGGCACAGAGAGGTGAGGTAACTTACCTGAGGTCACCCAGCTCTAAGTGGCAGAGCCAGGATTCAAGTCCAGCCCCTACTTCTGCTTCCCATGCCTCTGCCCACCCCTGCAGGCCTCCATCCAGCTGGCTGGGAAACTTCCTGGAAAGTTCTCCTGCTTCTCTCTGCCTCAGGCCACCCCCTGCTTAGCGGTAACTCAGCAGCCCTCGCAAGGATGGGGCAGTTTGGAAACTGCCTGAATATTCAGGTTGTTTAGCTTCATTACAATCGGAATACATTGCTCTCCTCAAGCCCCTCCTGTGATTACTTTTTGACAGCCCTCGAAGCAGCTCAGAGAGGGTACGAAAGGCACCGTTCACCTTCCCATCCTGGTCTCTGGGGAGGAGGCTTTGACAGATGATGACAAGCTGGGTCCCAGGGGCTGCAGCATTGCTTCTGTGCACATCTGTCTGGCTCCCCCTCCAAACACAAGCCCACTCCTCTCCACCCAAGCAGGCCAGCCTCCCCCAGCAGCTGGCACCCTGCCCCACCCCCACTTAGAACTCATCCCTGCAGGGGGTGGAGGCCACTCAGCCCTATCTAAGGGAGAAGCCGTGGGTGGGGGAAGGGACGCTTTGCTTTGGCAGCATCTCTAAAAGAGGTGCCAGCTTCACCCCAAGCAGCAGCGAGCGGCGCCGGAATTTTGTGGTGGAATTGTTTGACATTGCCTGTTGGTTTATTTTCCCTTAGAAATGAAAATTACAGAAATTGAAAACGAGCACTGTCTGCTCTTATGTGGAGAAACCCCCTTTGCCTTCTCAGGGGCATGTTTGGAAGGCTCTGTTATCTCTGGGGTATAATCATTTCCAAAAGAAACCAAAAAAAGAGAAAGTTCTGCAGCTAGGATGTTTAATGATGACAGTCAAGACGGGGTGGGCGGGGGACAGAGCCGGGGCACAAGGTTAGAGCACTGGATCTTTCTGTCAGGGGTCTCCTATCCCATCTCTCCCCTAGAAAGCTGGCACATGCCCTGTCCTGGCACAGGCCTTATGGATTCTGTCAAAAGTTGGTAGGTGGTGGTACCATCCACCCCACAGACCCCAGGGCCCTGCACCCTCACACACAGTCACATACATACGGACACACACAAAGACATGCAAATACACACAAGCACACAGAGGCATACCACACAAGCAGACACACATGCGATGAAACACACGCAGTCCTGGGCAACTTAGTGAGACTCTGTCTCTACAGAAAATTTAAAATTAGCCAGGGGTGGTGGTGCACGCTTGTAGTCCCAGCTACTGGAAAGGCTGAGGTGGAAGGATCGCTTGAGCCTGAGAGGTCAAGGCTGCAGTGAGCTATGATTGCGCCAGTGCACTCCAGCCTGAGTGACAGAGTGAGACCCTGTCTCTAAAAAAAAAAAAAGAAACATACACACATGCAGACACACACAGAAATACACAGACACACACACAGACATACACATGTGCAAACGCAGACATAGGCAGAAATACAAAGATACACACAGGCAGGCCCACAGACACAGCCCACCAGCCCTCAGAGCTTCCCTGCGAAGGGCGCTGATGGTGGCTTCAAGGGCTTTGGGGCGAGGGGTGTCGGGGCTGCTGCTGAAGGCCGCAGACACACAGTGGAGGGGCTGTGAGGACACCACCATCTCCCCACCATTTCCCCAGCAGAAGGGAAGGGGATGTTCTCTTTCATGCCCTTTCGTGAACGCACCAGACGTTCCTGAGATGCTGGAGGAGGTGAAGTTTTCAGATCTTTGTTGAACGGGCAGCTGAGCCCATGGGAAGATGCTGACATCCTCCCTTGTGGAGCCTGGCTTGACACAGGCGACCGGCAAGCTGGCGTTGACCCCAAGCTCCACCCGGCTTTGCTGCCTTCTGGCCTCAGTGTCCTTCTCCAAAAGCGCTGTCTCAGAGCTGAGGCTGCAGAAATCGTCATCCTCTGAACAAACTCACCCCTCACTGTTCTCAAGGGCTGACATCAGCCTGACTTCTCTTGGATTCAGGGATGATTGCTGAAAATTGCATCCTGGAATCCAGGCCCTTGGGCCTGCGGGACCAATTTTCCCACATGCTGGGCTGTGTGGGACAGAGAACATCTCTGTCCATCTGCTGCCCCCTGCAGCCTCCTTTCAGTTCCTTGGTGGGACAGATCTGAGAGGGGAGCTGAGCTTGTTCCTGAGAACGTTCTACATGGCAGTCAGGGCCTGAGACGGCAGAGCCAGCCCGCAGAGGAGCCTGGCCGTTCTGTAATGAAAGGAACGTGGGCCCTGATGGATTTAGTGGTGGGAGGCTGCAGATCAGCCCGGGGCTCAGAAAACCGAGTCCAGGGGAGCCTTGGAGACAGTGACTCACCTCCCGCCTTACATAGCAACGGTGTCCACAGCTGCCAAGCTACCCCAGCGGCAGCGTCACAATGTCTGCCCCGGACGATCACGATATTTGAGACGCTGCTGAAGTCCCGACGAGCCAGGTCGGAGGGAGACATGTCTGTGTCCCTCTGACCAGGCTCGTTTTTCCTCTTCTTCTTCGCGGGAGCTCCTTGCCCCCGGAACACCCACTGTGAAAAGCAGTGGAAACTCAACCTTCACTTCAGCCTTGACTGAGAAGGGAAGACAGATTTGCAGGGAACCTGGCCTTCAAGAACCATCAGACCCAGGGCGAGGAAGCCCACTTTTTGTGAGGCCTTAAACAGTGCTTCCTGTCAGTGGTGCACCCCACCCAGGAGACCCCACATGCTGCGGTTTTCAGTAGCTCAGATCCAGGGGCCCGGCATAAACCGAGGTGACAAGGAGGTGCTTTTGGTTTGCTCACAGTGATTCCTCTGGTTTTGGTTTAATCTTCCATTGACTAACTAGGAAGCAGAGAGGGTCAGAGAAGTTTGGGGACCTGCCCGCTGTCTCACGGAGTGAGTGACAGACCCAGTGTACCTGACTTCTGCCGTGGAGTCACCTGTGATTACTAATGACAAAGGGATACACCAGTGATAACCTCTCGCGAGCAGTCATCACGCACTGGCCATGGTTAGAAGGGCTCCCCTTACAGCCTCTCCCTCAGTGCTCACAGCCATCCTGGGAACTGGCACTGTCTGTATTCTCCTTAGGTAGGAAATGAGGGAACTGATGCCTTGGGAGGGAACTAACTGGCCAAAGACAGAACTGGGGTTCAAACCCCAGCAGCTGGTATGGGCCACCACTGCTGTGGTATCATCATAGATACCTGCCTGGGGTCCCTCCATCCCTCATGTCACAGGTGCTCAGACGGAACTTTGCCCCACACACTCCTGCTGCAAGATTAAGCAGCATGCCAGGCGCAGTGGTTCATGCTTGTAATGCCAAAACTTTGGGAGGCCGAGGAGGGTGGATCACCTGAGGTGGAATTAAAGACCAGCCTGGCCAACATGGCAAAACCCCTTCTCTGCTAAAACTACAAGTATTAGCCAGGTGTGGTGGCACATGCCTGTAGTCCCAGCTACTATACAGGCTGAGGCAGGAGAATCACTTGAACCCAGAAGGCAAAAGCTGCAGTGAGCTGAGATCCCACCACTGCACTCCAGCCTGGACAACAGCAAGACTCCATTTCAAAAAAAAAAAGAGGCCGGGCGTGGTGCCTCACGCCTATAATCCCAGCACTTTGGGAGGCCAAGGCAGGCAGATCACGAGGTCAGGAGATGAGACCATCCTGGCTAACACAGTGAAACCCCATTTCTACTAAAAATACAAAAACATTAGTCAGGCGTGGTGGCAGGCGCCTGTAGTCCCAGCTACTTGGGAGGCTGAGGCGGGAGAATCGCTTGAACCAGGAGGTAGAGGTTGCAGTGAGCTGAGATCGCGCCACTGCACTCCAGCCTGAGCGACAGAGCGAGACTCCGTCTCAAAAAGTAAAAGAAGAGAATGTGGCATGTCCCAAATGTACACATTCAGGTGCCTTCCTCACAATTCTGGCCTTACACATATAACCATAACTTATTTAATTTTTAAATCAATTTCTACTATTTCAAACTAAAATCTATTGCAAACGGATATTCTGTGGTCCTACCTTAACCACAATAACTGCCACCTGCCATTCCCCAAAGGTAACTGCCATCTACCAAAAATAGGTCCAAGGCACACAAAGCAATGTTATGGAATTCGAGTTGGGTGCTGGTTCCTGATGAAGGCTCTGAACTCGACTGTCTTCCCTTTTTTTCAAAAGGGAGATGAGCAAAGTCTAGAGAGGTGTTAAAGAAACACTAGCACCAGACTGAGACTTTGCCCTGAGAGAACCGACAAGGGACTGGCTGTCTCACTTTGTCGCTCAAGATCACTGAATGCTGTGCCTCTTAGGAGCTTCCCACGTGCACACTTCACATGTGGAGAAACGCTGAAACAGGGTTTGGATAAGCCCCTGACATGCCAATGTCCCCTGTCCCACCAGGGCAGCACAGCTGGCCCTAGGCTGCAGACACAGCACAGGGTGGCTGCTGACCCAGGCGGATCTGATAGGGGCCAGGCTGGGTCCAGGCTGTCCCTGGCTTTGACTGATGCGTATGTCCTTGCCCACCAGCACGCCGAGCTACAACTACGCGCCCAACCCGGACAAACACTGGATCATGCGCTACACGGGGCCCATGAAGCCCATCCACATGGAATTCACCAACATACTCCAGCGGAAGCGCTTGCAGACCCTCATGTCGGTGGACGACTCCATGGAGACGGTAGGCGCCCACTGCATGCCTGTTGGTGGGCGTGGCTCCGAACCCCCAGCCAGGCCAGGGCCAGAACCTCCTGGCCCTTCAGGGTTTTCCTGGAGGAATGGAAATCAAAGGCAGAATGAAGAGACCGCATGCTAGACCTGGGGAGCAGCTCAGAGTGATCCAGACAAAAACCTCTTCCTTCATGAAACATATTCTAGATCCGTGCTGCCCAGTACGGTAACCATGTATGCTAGTTATATTTTTTTCCTGCTATTTACATTTTTGAATACCTTTATTGGGATGTAATTCACATACCATACAATTCATCCCATTAAAGTGTGCAATTCTGTGGTTTTAATACACCCAGAGTTGTATAACCATCACCACATCCATGTGAGGACATTTTTCTTACCCCAAAGAGAAACCTCACAGCCCTTAGTCACCACCCACTAAATCTCCGTCACCCCCAGCCCCAGACAACTGATGATCCCTTTTCTGTCTCTATAGATTTGGTGTTCTGCACATTTCCTATGAATGGAACTGTACACGCTGAGGCCTTCTGTGCCCGGTGCCTTTCTTTCACTTAGCACCATGTGTTCCAGCTTCACCCCTGGTATCCCATGAATCCGTCCCCCTCATTCCCTGTTATTGCTGAATAGTACCCCGTTGTATGGGTATTGTCACATTTTATTTAGCCATGGCTATTTAAACTGAATACAGTAACATTATAAAGTCACTTCTTCTGTCACACAAGCCTCATTTCACGTGCTCAGTAGGTTCGTGTGGCTGGAGGCCACCGTATCGGACAGTGCAGACATTTACACGGCCACCAATGCAGAAAGTTCTGCCACACAGCGCCCTTCCAGATGGCAAGCTCCTGCCACAGGCTGCAGCCCAAGTTTCACTCATTTCATTCATTCACCTGATAACATTTATTGAGTGCCAGTGTACGTGAAATACAGCAAGCAGGGAACAAAATGACAGAAGTCTCTGCCCTAATGGAGGCAGCATGGCATGCCAAGGCAGGGACACAGACGATCCACAGATAAGCAAAAGAGATGGAGGCCGAGAAGGGCTGCGAAGAACCGTGGGGGAGAGGGCGGGCCAGGGAGTGACGGGAGGCAGGAAGGTGCAGTGACAAAGGGGACAGCCCCCGGGAACGTTAAGCGAAGACCTGAAGCAGGGGAAAGATGGGAACTGAGATCTCAAGCCCCTGCGACCCCAGGTCGGAGACGGGTCAGGCACCCGGTCCCCACTGCCCCTTGCCTCCTTGCCTGTGTTGCAGATTTACAACATGCTGGTTGAGACGGGCGAGCTGGACAACACATACATCGTGTACACCGCCGACCATGGCTACCACATCGGTCAGTTTGGCCTGGTCAAAGGGAAATCCATGCCGTACGAGTTTGACATCAGGGTCCCGTTCTATGTGAGGGGCCCCAACGTGGAAGCTGGCTCTCTGTAAGTATGGCATCCCCCAGGGATCCAGGGGGCCCCTGGGCCCAGCTCAGGGCTGCAACCGTGCAGCCCAAACCCAAGCCACACCCTGGGTGGCTCACAGTTCTGACAGATGAACCCCAGGGCCAACGGAAAGCAATGATGTCATGCATTTTATACCCCTCTGCTGGGGAAGGAGAGGCCAGGGCCGTGAGCACCTGTGGAAACAGATTGTGGTGTGGCCGTATGCCAGGAAATCCAGGGAGCTGGGCTGTATACGTGTGTGCGCGCACACGCGTGTCACCAGCGGGTGGGAATGGCGCTTGGATTTCTGTTCTGGGCTGGGCAGCCATTGGGCCTGGAGGTTGTCAGGGAGGATTCCCGGACCTCAGCACAGGCAGCTGGTTGTCAGCCGGGATCAGCTGAGCCAGCTCCGGGCAGCAGCACAAAGGGAAATGCTTTTCCCTCCCATCCTTCCTGGAGGACCACGTGGGCCGCAGCCCTCAGCCAGCAATTCTCCTTGGGTTAACCTTTGAGATGACACGTTCTGGCAGCGAACATGCTGCGTCTGGGGCAGGGGAGTGGACAGGCCGCTGTTCATGGCAGCAGCCTCCTTGGATCGGCTGGGATATTATGGAGACTTGCTCAAATGGGGTTTTTGAAAAGCAGATGTGTTGCTATTAAGACTCTCATTTGGTCTGACTTCTGCCCATGCCCAGCTGTGGGAACACACACCCAGCACTCACACAGGGCTGGCTGCAGAACTGGTTCAGAAGAGGCATCGACAGTGCAGTGTGGAATTCCAGACTGACATGTTCCCACTGCCTTGGACATTTTGCGAGAATTCCAGGAGGCAGGCTGTGTGTGTTCAAGGCCAGAGAAAGTGATGACTGTGTGTTGACCTTATCAGATCATGCCCGTCTTTGGCTCTCAGCACCCCCTCTGGAATAAGAGCTGTAATAACGAAAGCCCACGCGTATGGAGTGTCTACTCTTCAGGGCCTGGTCTAAGAACTACATAATGATTCACTGCAGGCCAGGCCCTGTGGCTCATGCCTGTAATCCCAGCACTTTGGGAGGCCCAGGTGGGCGGATCATTTGAGGTCAGGAGTTCGAGACCAGCCTGGCCAACTTGGTAAAACCCTGCCTCTACTAAAAATACAAAAATTAGCTGGACATGGTGGCACACACCTGTAATCCCAGCACCCAGGAGGCTGAGGCAGGAGAATTGCTTGAATTGCGGAGGTTGCAGTGAGCTGAGATCATGCCACTGCACTCCAGGCTGGGTGACAGAGTGAGACTCCATCTCAAAAAAAATTAATTCATTGCAGCATCACAACAGCCCTGTGACGTGGATGCACATAGTGGCCTCATTTTACACCCAAGGCCACTGAGGCACAGAGAGGTTAAGTTGCCTGAGGTGACAGAGCAAGTAAGGGAAGGGGCTGGGGCTTGAAGCCAGGCAGTCTGTATTCCCATGTGCCACACCTCTCAGAAACCTCGAACCATCCCTGTGAACAGAAAGCATCTGACCCACTCAGGGCTCTACAAACACTGACCCTGGGGGTTTGGTCAGCCTTGGAATCTGTGATCTGACTCATAGGACCCAAAACCACATCCCACATGGTCAAGAAAAAGGGAGTGCTCACGTCAGGTTTGGGACCAAAGACACACAGTATCTGTCAGCCAGGACTCCTTTGGTTGCAAGCAGAAACGACCTTTGAACCAGATAAAGCATATAAGATAAAAGGAATGCAGTAACTATAGTTGCTGAAAAATCCATGCACAGCTCCAGCCTCAGGCATGGCTGGATCCAGCAGTCTTACAATGCCACTGGGAAGCTCTCATTTCTTAACTCTCAGTCCCACTTCCGCTGAATTGGCTTCATTCTCAGGCGGGTTTTTCTCCTTATGGCAGAGTCAGCAGCTCCAGATTTTCAGCCATCCTGTCTAGGAAGCCAAACTGCTTTGAACAGAAGACCTGAGGCTGACTCCCACTGGCCTGACTGAGGTCATGTGTCCTTCCCTGAACCAATCACTGTAGCCAGAGGTGACAGAAACCCTTGAGTGGCCAGGCTGAGTGCACTGGGCAGTGGACTCTGAATGGGGCCAGGTAGTTCCTACAGAATGAGAAGCTGTGACACAGAGGAAGGCATGGGTGCTGGCCAGGAAACACGACCACTGTCCTCCTTCCCCTGAGACTGGGGGAGCAGGACCACTGGACAAGCTCAGCCCCGTCGGCTGCTGGCTGCTGGCTGCTGGGTTGGGCAGAGTGCCCGTCGCTCAGCAGTCTTCCCAGCTCCCTCGCCTCTGGATTCAGTTGTAGTGCCTCACGCTGGCCTTCGAGCCCCCCATGACGCAGCTTTAGCCCATCTTCCCCAGCTGCACACATGCTTGGCAGCCTGCCCGGTGTTCACAGAGCACTGGAATGGGGAGAAATGGGAGGTTAAAGATGACAGAAACCCCAGGACCCAGGCCCTGCCCCAGTCCCCAGGGGACTAGCAGGGAAGGCACTCAGGCGCTCTGACGGGTCTGTCCACCATTCAACAGGTCCTGGGCCCTGTGCTGTGCACATCCCTCAAGTCCCTTACCCTCCATTGAGAGTGTCATCAGCCAGAAACAGGAGCCAGGAGAGGTGGCTCATGCCTGTAATCCAGCACTTTGGGAGGCCAAGGCAGATGTATCACCTGAGGTCAGGAGCTTGAGAGTAGCCTGGCCAATGTGGTGAAACTCCGCCTCTACTAAAAGTACAAAAATTATGGGTGTGGTGGCACATGCCTGTAATCCCAACTATTCGGGAGGCTGAGGCATGAGAATCGCTGGAACCCGGGAGGTAGAGGTTGCAGTGAGCCGAGATCGTGCTACCACACTGCAGCCTGGGTGACAGAGCAAGACACCTCTCAAAAAAAAAAAAAAAAGAAACAGGAGCCGGGAAAGGTGGCAGATGTATGGAACTCACTTAGCCAGTATTGACTGAGTAGCTACTGTGTGTTCTAAGGGTGTAAGTCCTGGAGATACAGAAGTGACCACCTGAGCCAGCCTTCCTGCAGCTTACAGTCTACCTGGGCAATAGACAATAAGCCAGAGAAATAAGTCAGATATATAGCATATGAGACGGTGATGGGTCTTCAGGAGAAAGATAAAGCAGGGAGGGCAGGGAGGGGCGCAGTTCCAAGTAGGGTCCTCAGGAGGGCATTGTGTTGGGTATCTGTGCTGCAGAACAAACTGCCACAAACTCAGCAGCTTAAGACAACACATGTACAAACTCACGGTGTCTGAGGGTCAGAAGCCAAGACCCAGCCCTGCAGGGTCATCTGCTTAGGCTGAAATCAAGGTGCCAGCCAGGGCTGCAGTCTCATCCAGAGGCTTGACTGGGGAGCACCCGCGTCCCTGCTCATGGGGCAGGTCAAGTGCAAGCAGAGGACTTGAACCCATGCAGTCTGCCTCCCAAACTGCTCACCGTCCAGCTGCTGATTTAGAGTGGCTTGCTTCTTCCAAGTCAGCAAGGGGAGAAAGAGAGACCAGCGCAAGACCACTAGCAGGATAGAGTTGACTATCTCGTAACACAACCACGGGAGTGACAGCCCGTCACCTTCATGTCCCACTGGTGGGCAGCAGGTCCGGGTTGGTCCCCCAGGGACAGGGATCCCGGGGACCACTGAGGCCTGTCACGGGCCTCCTTGGTAATAGAGCAAAGAACTAAAGGGGTGAGGGACGGTGGCCCCTGATCTCCAGGGAAAGGACATTCCAGGCAGAGGGGACAGTAAAGAAGAAGGCCCTGAGGCTGGACTGTGCCTGGGCTGTCAAGGAACAGCAAGGAGCCAGTGTTTGCCCCAGAGATCCAGGGGAAGGGCTCGGGAAGGGCCAGGATTTGGGCTGGCTGTAAAGGCAGGTCGCCTTCACTCAGGAAGTGGGGACAGGGTGGGGCTGTCAGCTCACCGCATGGCATGTCTGAGACGCAGAAGCTAAGTGGGGGGCGAGTGCAGAGTGGGGATTTGGCTGAATCTGGGCCGCAGAGGGGAGCTGCTGAGGTTGAGGTGCCAGACTGCAGCTTCCATACCTGCAGATGTCAGCCCCCCACAAACTGCTGCCCACCTACCACCGCCCACCCCTCCAGCGAGGCTGAGGCACCACCACCCAAGTGGCTGAGTCCCCGATCTCCTGCCTCCCCCAGGAATCCCCACATCGTCCTCAACATTGACCTGGCCCCCACCATCCTGGACATTGCAGGCCTGGACATACCCGCAGATATGGACGGGAAATCCATCCTCAAGCTGCTGGACACGGAGCGGCCGGTGAATCGGTGAGGAAGGAGCAGGGCAGGTGTGGGGGGCTGGGACATTGGGGCTCCTGACCTGCGGGAACTCAAAGCAAAACCCTGTGGGTCTAGAACATGGGGTCTCCAAGGGTCGGGAGCTGGGGTTCTCAGGTCCCCCCACCCCAACCACTTACCTGCTGTGGGAGAGAAGCATTCCCCTCTCTGAGATTCTGTCTTCCCATCTGGAATGTGGCCAAGGTGACCAGTTGGGGACCTTCTCTGAACTAAAATTACACAAAGCTTGAAATGGTAGCAGCAGTGATCGTAGGAGTTGGTGCTAACTGCACGGCGATTGTGTGTGAGGCCGTGTTCTAAGTACTGTGCAGGGGATTCTAGGAGTTTGATCCTCATGGTAACCCAGCGAGGTGACGTTATCGTCATCCCCATTTTGCCAGTTTGGAATCTGAATCCCAAAGCGACTGAGTGACTTGTCAGAGGTATCCCAGCAAGTCTGGATGTAGCTCTGGGAATTCAGATGCTGACTTACCACACCCCATAACTTTAATGCTGGAGGGTGTGATGGGAACATATTCCAGGTGTCCAGAGAGGCAGAGTAGGAACCGCGAGGGTGAGCAAGTCAGACAGGTGGGAGGTGGGCTGAGTCAGGGCGGGGAGGCTGGTGTGGCCACAGCGACATCTGGTGGCCAGCACTCTAATAGCCACCAGGTTCCTGGCCTCCAGGTGCTACTTCAACTCCTGGCTTGCACCTCCGGCAGCGGAGCCTTTCCTCTGTGGTCTCCCAGAGGCTCCAGCCAGGCGAGCACTGTGTGCCCACATCCGGCTGCCCTGTAGGGGGACCGTGTCCATTGAGGCTCCTCCCCTGACTGTGAGGCCAGGCGAGCTGTAATGGTATAAAATGGACATGTTTGGGGACACTGGCCTGGGAGTCAGGACAACTGGGGGACAGGGGACAGGGTGGAAGCTTCTCCTCTCAGCTTCAGAGTCCCCATCTAGGAAATGGAAATGACCAGGTGGCACCGGATGAAACCCACAAATTACATACATGCAACTGCAAAGCACCAAAGAAGAAAATACCCCACAACCCAATGCAATGAACCCGACGTCAAGACAACCACTGCGCCTGACGCTGAGCTCAACACAGAGCTCAAGACGCTGAACCACTGCGCCTGACGCCGAGCTGGAGACAGAGCTCAAGACGCCAAACCACTGCGCCTGACGCCCAGCTCGAGACAGAGCTCTTCCAGCTCCGGGAGTTGTTGGGCTTCCTGCGGGGGCGTGAGATGTGCGCGCACACACAGTTACTTGGGTGGGACCTACAGTGACTTTGACCTGGGTCATTTCTGCCCTGTGTGCCTCCAGACCCGAGTCTCTGGGAAGGGGTGGCTCAACTCAGGAGGGTGAGCAAGGCTCTCCAGTGCCCGGCTGGGCGCGCTCGCCACAATTGCTGTCCAGGCTGACTGTAAACCAAGGCTGACTCCTGGTGCCGTCCCTGCTCCTGGGGGAATAGGGGGTCGTGGGAAGCCCTCACATTGTTGAGAAGCAGGATCCGTGCTTTTTTCCAGGTTTCACTTGAAAAAGAAGATGAGGGTCTGGCGGGACTCTTTCCTGGTGGAGAGAGGGTGAGTGCCGGGTCCTGGCAGGGACACCCCTGCCCACCTCCCTCCCTCCGCCCAGGGCAGCAGGGAGAATCGGGCTATGATGGTGCCTTCCAACAGTGGCTCTGAAGTTGTGTCCAAAGGCCCCTAAACACAAAGCCCATTCACTGCTCCTATAGACGACACAGAATTGGGGTCTGAGGTCGCGCATACCCTTTTGGCATGTTTTGTCCAGCCTCTACAATGTCTTCAATTTATTTAAGTTATTGCCAACTCATGCGATTTGGGAAGTTTCTTATAAAATGCCAATCTTAAGTTTCCTAAACATCAGGAGACCCGGGCAGGGTGGCCCTGCGTCCTCCACTGTGAGGATAAGCCAGAGCCGAGGGGGCACCCCTCTAGGTGGGCACACGTGCCTCCGAGGCTCCTCCAGAGCTGAGAGGCCGGCCCCGCGGCTCCTCCTCTCTGCCCCACAGCAAACTGCTACACAAGAGAGACAATGACAAGGTGGACGCCCAGGAGGAGAACTTTCTGCCCAAGTACCAGCGTGTGAAGGAACTGTGCCAGCGCGCTGAGTACCAGACGGCGTGTGAGCAGCTGGGACAGGTAAGAAGGTTCCCTTTCCTCCCGACCGCTCCCCCTCCTGACGGCAGCCAGCCCTGACCTGTGGGGCCCTGAGAGCCGCTGAGCCAGCAGGGCCAGGGCCTCCCAACGGGTAGCCCTTTGCTGTCGTGTGATGCCCAAGATGCAGTTTGGTGATGCAGGATGATGCTCATGATAAGTGATTGATTTCTCAGCAGCCTTTGGACCCTGACCGTGTCAGAGGCCAAGTGTCCCGTGGGTGTGCTGTGTGCCCTTAGCACCTCTCTAGCCCTTGCCAACCCGTCTTGCACTGAGGCCCCCACAGGAGTTAAAATTAGTTTATTTTCACCGTGTTTGCTTTGACAGTATTGTCTTTGTGACTGGTTTTCCTTTTACAGGAGTAATAAGACGTGGCTTTTTAAAATAAATATATGTAAGTTTTTAAAAAGTGAATTGGTTGCAAGAGAAATAGTAAGGAAATTATGGCCAGGAACAGTCAGTGGCTCACGCCTATGGTCCCAGCTACTCCGGAGCTGAGGCGGGAGGATGGCTTGAGCCCACATGTTGGAGGCTGCAGTGAGCTGTGATTGCGCCACTGCACTCCAGCTTGGGTGACAGCATAAGACCCTGTCTCTAAAAACGTAAGAAAAAAAGAAAATAATCTGGGAAGTATTCAGAGGTAGCAGAAACTGACATGCTGGGAAAGCCTGAATGAGGCTTTTCTGAGGCTGGAAGGCCAGGGCAGGCTTGGAGAAGGAGGGTCAGGGAAGGGGCAACCCCAGCCAGGCAGGGTGGAGAGGGCAGTGGACATGGTAAAGCTCTGCCTTGGCTGGCCCAAGGGGTGCCGGAGGTGTGTCCCTGTCTTGCCCGTCAAAGACTGGGACTTGGAGCTGGGGCTGGAGTTGCGTGCCTGTTCACCAGTGAGAAAAAGCAAAACCAGGGCCCTGGTATCGAAGGCCAAGGCCAGAGGTGGATGGGTTTCTGATGGACTGCGTTTGAAGGACTCCATCTTATCAATGTACATAGAATTAGTACAGGCTCGTACAGGCCTGACAGTGCCTCCTCACCCAGTGTGTGTAAACCACAGACCCCACTGTGTCACGGAATTAACCCGTGTCTGCCACCAGGCAGGAGCTGTGGATTTCTTCCTTCTGTTGTACAGCATGAATGCGTACCTCTGCTTGCCAGGCGCTGTCCTGGCGCAGGGCTACAGCCTTGAATATGCTCAACAGAAACTCCTGCCCTCCCAGAGCTGACGTTGTAGAGAGAGTTCAGCCTTGACTTTGTACGGAGACCCCAGAAGGGATTCTGATGTTAGTTCTGGGCTAAAAGAAATGAAATGACGAGGCCAGGAAGCCTTTGCGCCCCCCCGCCAGGGAACGCTGTCAAGTCCCCCACTGGTTCTTTCTGCATGTCTCCCCTGACCCAGATCAGCGCTTGGGCAGCCAAAATGACCTCTTTGCTGGGGCCAAGAAAGAGGAGGTATCAGCATTTTCCAAACAATCAGAGCGCACCACTGAAACCAAAGGAAGAGAGTGTGAGGGCGTGGTTGGGGCACATAGCCTAGGCCAGCTGGGAGGCAGCAGCCCATGTGCCCGGACCCAGCCCCGGGGCTGTGGGGATCCCAGGCCCAGACCTCTGCCCGCCATCCCAGGCAGCGGCCCTGCTCACAAGCCCGCATTCCCCGCGTGCCGTTGCCACGTCTCTGCTTGTGCCATGCTTCTGGAATGCCCTGCCCAGTGTAGAAGCTGTACCCTGTGGCCCGAGGACGTCTCTTAGGGGGCCTCACGCCCAGCCATAGCATTGCCTTGGGTACCTTTTCTGTGCTACCCCACGTGCTAGATGTTCGTTTGTCCTTCACTGAACAAACATTCCCAGGAACCAAGCTTTTGTGCATCTGCCTGTCTCCCGGTGACACGGGGACACTAAGGGCAGGGCCTGGCTGGAATTCATGTCATCATTCCTAAAGCCCAGATCAGGGCCTGGCCCGGGCAGGAGTAAATGTGCCCTGGACACCTCGTAATGATGACCATCACAGGCAACACTGAGTGTGAGCTCTGCCTCCAGCCACCCTATCTGGCAGGTATGTTCTCTACACGGGGGAAACTGAGGCCCAGGGCTTAGACAGCCTACCCACAGCCTCACAGCTTCAAGTGGTGGAGCCAGGATTTGAACCCAGGTAGTCAGGTTGTGCAAGACCTTTGTTCTCAGCAGCTGTAGGGACCCAGAGTCAAGCCGACACTGGCCCAGCCCTGTGAGGCTCACGCACCACCCCCACCAGGAGAGCCTCAGGACAGGGCATGCGGACACGGCTTCTCCATGAGTAGTGCAGAAGCAGCAAACACTTTCCGCACAAGGTCAGACGGTAAATAGTTTGCGGTTTGCAGGCCACACATTTGTTTTTTTTCTTGCTTTTTACAACTCTAAAAATGTACAATGTAAAAACTGTTCTTGGTTGGCAGGCCATACAAAAACAGGCCATGGGCTGGAGTTGACTAGAAAGAGGGCTGCAGTTTGCCGACCCCTCAAGTCGTGCCCCGGCTGAGTTTGTCGGGTTGGAAGGGAGAGCAGGCAGTGGGGAAGGAGAATTCCAGGCAGAGAGAGCTAAGTGGACGGAGGCTGCTCGCCAGCGTGTACAACTCAGGGCCTCACGCAGAAGTCAGAGCCTTGGCTTTTCTTGAAAAATCAGACCTGGGCCTCTGGGTCTGTGCTGCCCTCTGGCGACAGTCAGATGGGTATAGCCAGTCACAGTGCTCACTTTAGCCTCCCCAGGTCCCCCAGTCCCTTCTGGGCCGGCCTCATTCAGGGCCATGCCTGCTGGCCCATCAGTCTCCTGCACTAAGGAATCCAGGTTGCTGGAAGGGCCTGCGTGCATTGATGAGGGTGGGAGGGTGGCAGGGCGTTGTGAATGCAATCAGAGTCAGCCTCTAGGTGAGAACAGACGGTGGGGACGGGGACAACATGAGCAGGTGAAAGGCAGCAGGGCCTTCAGCGGTGGCGGGGGGTGGCCTGTGTAGCAGAGGGTTGAGGGGGATGGTAGCACCAGATTCCACACTTTTCCTTACAGCTCTTGCACCTCCCAGTTGTGTGACCCAGGACGCATCTCTCTACCTCTGTGTGTCTCATATTGAAGCAGCACAGTAATGACAGCACCTGCCTCGTACGGTAGTGGGAGGTGTAGTAAGCAAGTTAATATTAACACACAGTGCTTGGCACATGCTATGTGCTGTGCTGGAGAGAACAAGGGAACAGATCTGATCCGTGGCCTGGAAAGGTCACTTTGGCACAGAATAGGCCCTAAAGAGTCACTGGGTCAATGGGCTGGAGCAGGTGTAGACAGAAGGGAAGAGAATCCAGTTTACAGGTGGTTGCAGAATCCCACGAGGGAATCCAGGAGGCTGGACCTAGGGAAGGGAAGAGGGATCAACATGAGAGATTTGGACGGTGATTCTGTCTACATTCAGCTTCTGAGCACAGGCCTGGAGTTGAATGCACACGTGGAACCTCTGCACACAGCACTGACTGAGTCTGGGAAGGTGGTCAGGGGAGACTCCTTGCGCTGGAGCAGAGACGGGAAGGAAGAGAAGGCTCCAGCAGCAGGAAGGGCTGGGGAAAAAAGGCATTCCAGGCAGAAGGAGCAGTGAGCGCCAAGTCCCTGGGGCAGCAGCCCACGGGGGATACTGGAGAGAGGGCTGGGGCTGAGGGAGAGGAGGACTCACGGGTAGGCCAGGGCCAGATTGCAGAGGGTGTTCAGAGACTAGTATGAGGAGCTTGGGTCTTGTCTTAAAGACAGTGGGAGCCATTGAAGGGTTTTAAGTAGGAGAGTGACATGATCCAACTTGCCCTTTAAAAAGATTCCTCTAGCTGCCATGTGGGTTGATTTTAGGAGCAGACAGAAGCGGGCAACCGTGAGAGTGGGGGGCTGTTGGAGGCATCTCGTGGGGGGATGATGGTAGCTCTGCCCAAGGTTCAGCGGCAGTGGAGAGAAGCGGCACTTGGAGATAGCAGACGTGGGGCTCAGTAACAGCTGGATGCAAGCAGGGAGAGGGATGTCTCCAGGGTGGATGGGGGTGGCAGGGGAGAGTTGGGTTTAGGGGAGCAGACGAGCAGCTGGCCGAGGCCCTGGCATGTCTTGCAGAAGTGGCAGTGTGTGGAGGACGCCACGGGGAAGCTGAAGCTGCATAAGTGCAAGGGCCCCATGCAGCTGGGTAGCAGCAGAGCCCTCTCCAACCTCGTGCCCAAGTACTACGGGCAGGGCAGCGAGGCCTGCACCTGTGACAGCGGGGACTACAAGCTCAGCCTGGCCGGACGCCGGAAAAAGCTCTTCAAGAAGAGTAAGTGTCACAACCTGGCTGAGTGGGACAGCAGGAGAGAGACCATGCCTGGGGAGCCCATTCATTCACTCAGACGATTCCACAGAGACTATCGCTTTGCCAGGTGGTGGTCTAGGGGCTGGGGACACAGCCACACCTCCTCACAAGCCATGAATTCTAGTGGGGAGCGGCAGTAATAAACAGATAAGGCCAGGCATGGTGGCTCACACCTGTAATCCCAGTACCTTGGGAGTTCGAGATGGGTGGATCACCTGAGGTCAGGAGCTCAAGACCAGCCTGGCCAGCATGGTAAAACCCCGTCTAAAAATACAAAAATTAGCCAGATGTGGTGGCTCACGCTTGTAATTCCAGCTACTTGGGAGGCTGAGACATGAGAATCGCTTGAACCCGGGAGGCAGAGGCTGCAGTGATCTGAGATTGCGCCACTGCTCTCCAGCCTGGGCAACAGAGCAAGATCCATCTCAAAAGAGAGAGAAAAAAAGGAAGAAACACACATACAAGGTTCTGTACTGATTGGCTGGTGAAAATGCTAGGACCAGAGGTTCGCAGGAACCCAGCTGTGTGCTTCCCCTAGGAGCCATGGTTCAATGTTCAATTAGTCAGTGCAGTGTTTGCGGTGACTTTATAGAACTACTCTGGGCTGGGTGCGGTGGCTCACACCTGTAATCCCAGCACTTTGAGAGGCCGAGGTGGGCAGATCACTTGAGGTCCAGAGTTCAAGACCAGCCTGGCCAACATGGTGAAACCCCATCTCTACTAAAAATACAAAAAATTAGTTGGGCGTGATGGTGTGGGAGGCAGGAGAATCCTGGAACCCGGGAGGCGGAGGTTGCAGACAGCTGAGATCACACACCATTGTGCTCCAGCCTGGGAAACAGAGTGAGACTTGGTCTCAAAAAAAAATTAAAAAGTAAAAAATAAACTACCCTGAAGAACAAGAATAGACTATACTTTAGTTGAGTGGGGAAAAGCCTCACCCAGCTAAAGAAGTGTCTACACCTTCATACCTCATGCTCGGCAGGGGCCGGGGAGAGGACAGGCAGGCGGAAGCCAGGGAGCAGGTGGAAGCCAGGGCGCAGGCGAAGTGGAGATGGGCTCTTCTAGACCTGGCCAGAAGGCCTGGCCGCCACCCTGGGCTATCACTTCACCATTCTGAGGCTCAGCTCCCACCATCAAATAGGAAGAATGGTCCCTGCCTGACTTTCAAACAGGAATGAGCCTGTGCCCTGAAAATGTGTGGAAGCGTTGGGGTCTGCCGGCTAGAAGTGTGCCCTCCAGGGCTGGGCAGCTTCCCACACAGCCCATTTCTCTGGCCTAAGGACAGCCAAAGTCTGATAGATTTCAGGTGTTGTTTTAAAAACAATTATGGTGAAATACACATAAAATTTATCATCTTAACCATTTTTAAGTATCCAGTTCAATAGTGTAAACTATATTCACACTACTGTGCAGCCTATCTGCTAAACAAACTTTTCATCTTGCAAAACTAAAACTGTCCCCATTCACTGTCGTCTCCCCATTCTCCCACCCTGCTCCCGCCCCGTTCTCCCCCCCGTTCTCCCCCCATTCTCCCACCCCGCTCTCACCCCGCTGTTACACTGGTCTCCCACCCCATTCTCCCACCCCGCTGTTATGCCGTTCTCCCACCCCATTCTCCCACCCCGCTCTCACCCCGTTCTCCCACCCAGTCCTCCCACCCTGTTCTCACCCTGTTCTCCCACCGCGCTCTCACCCTGTTCTCACCCCGTTCTCCCAGCCCCACCCCATTCTCCCACCCCGTTCTCCCACCCCGCTCCCACCCGTTTTCCCACCCCGCTCCCACCCAGTCCTCCCACCTCATTCTCCCACCCCGCTTGCACCCAGTCCTCCCACCCCGTTCTCCCACCCTGCTCTCCGACCCTGCTCCCACCCAGTCCTCCCACCCCGTTCTCTCACCCCGCTCTCCCTGTGTTCTCCCACCCCGCTCCCCCTCCCTGATCTCCCACCCCATTCTCCCACCCTGCTCCCACCCGGTTGTCCCACCCCGTTCTCCCACCCACTCCCACCCCGTTCTCCCACCCCGTTCTCCCACCTCCTGATCTCCCAATCTCCATCTCCTCCCACTTCTACTCACTGTTGTCTCTAATTCTTGCTTTCACTTGCTTACTCTGCTTTTACTTCCTTGCGCCACTTTTCTCTCACCATTTTTTAGTCACCCACTCCCACCCCGTTCTCCCACCCCGTTCTCCCACCCCGCTCCCCCTCCCTGATCTCCCACCCCGTTCTCCCACCCACTCCCACCCTGTTCAACCACCCCCACTCCATTCTCCCACCCCGCTCTCCCACCCCGCTCTCCCACCCCGCTCTCACCCCTTCTCCCACCCCATTCTCAGCAACCACTCTTCTACTTCCCTATGAGCTTGACTGCTCTAGGGGCCTCGTGTAAGTGGAATTGTACAGTATTTGTCCTTCTGTGGCTGGCTTTTTTCTCTTCGCATAATGTTCTCCGCGCTCATCCACATGGTAGCCTGTGTCAGAATCTCCTTCCTGACCGGGCACAGTGGTTCACGAACGCCTGTAATCCCAGCATCTTGGGAGGCCGAGGCAGGCAGGTTGCCTGAGCTCAGGAGTTCGAGATCAGTCTGGCCAACATGGTGAAACCCGTCTCTACTAAAAATACAAAAATTAGCCAGTCATGGTGGTGGGCACCTGTAGTCCCTGCTACTCAGGAGGCTGAGGCACGAGAATGGCTTGAACCTGGGAACGGGAGGTTGCAGTAAACCGAGATCACGCCGCTCCACTCCAGCCTGGGTAACAGAGCAATACTCTGTTTCAAAAGCTGGAAAAAAAAAAAAAAAAAGGTCCTTTCTTTATACAATGGATGATATTGTGCCACAGACTAATTAGAGATTGAGGATCGAGGTCTCCAACGGCAGGCGCAGTGGTCTCCTCTGGGCCATCCGGCCAGGCAGCAAATGTCCTCATCGTGGAGCAGATAAGTCTCTTTCTGTAGCAGCCCAGCCACTGCCTCAAACAACACTTCCCAGCTGATGATCCTCTGGTCCCTTTCCTCACCAGCTGATTAGGAACTACTGCATTAACTTTTCTAGCTGAATAGGATGATTGGTTTCCAGATTGGATTACACAGCCAGCATCTCCTTGCTTCAGTATGTGGCACAGTCGATAATCTTTAAATAATACAACATCTTGCAGGGAGAGATTCAGCTGTTTTCCCCCCTATTAATGCTTAGAGGAAAGAAAAATACCTAAAAGTAGCCGAGAGTCAGCTCAGCCCTGGTCAGAATCCTCATGTGAGTGTATGTCAGAGCTGGGACCCCCCGTGATCCTCACCTGTACAGAAAGGAGCAAGCCTTGTGACCGGCCAGAGAACAAGTGTTCTGAGGAGGAGGAAGATGAGGTACAAAGGCCCTGTACTCACAATGAGTGTGGCGGGTCCCAGTCACAGAGAGGTGACTGGTGTGGCCAAGAGTGGTGAGAAGCACAGTGGGCACGGGCAGCCACATCACACAGGGGGTCACTGGCGTGGAGAGGCAGGGAGTGGGCGTAATGGTGAGGTTTCGGGGCTGCGCGGCATCACCTTAGGTGAGGACATCACCTGCAGGCAGAGTCCCCACCCCCTGCCAGCTCATCAGGCATGAATGCTTCACTAGTTGTGTTTCGTGCTATCCTCCAAGGAGCCCTTGTAGGGTAGGCACCATCCTGAGAAGTTACCGAAATCGCCGAGGCCACACATGTGCTCAGGGGTTTGCACCTCAGCCATCCGATTGCAGAGTCAAAGCTCTTGGCCACCGGCTTACGAAGTCCTGTCCCATGCCCTGTTGGTGTGGCAGGAAGGGGACCTCCGGGACTCTGGACACGGACACAGTGAGAGAGACGGGGAGAGCAGGTCGTGTGGCTTCGGTACAGGAGAGGATTCACACAGGGCCGGCAGACCGTGGCTATGAAGGGCTGGAGAGTGAAGGTCTGGGGCTTTGCGACTCAGCCCTGCGACTGCAGAGGTGTGAGCGAACGCGAGCCGCTGTACCCAGTGAAACTGTATTCGCAAAGACAGATGGAGGCTGGCCTGGGCCCTTAGGCCATGGTTTAGGGACCCCTGAGTCTAGAGCTGGGAGATGGAGGGTGGAAAGAGACAAAACCACTCACTCATAAGCCGACTGGGACTAAAGGAGTGAAGAGGACACGCTGGGTCCATTTCCTGAGCCTCTCAGGGCAGGACCTGCTCGGCACAGGGAGCATCCTCGGCTCTTTGTGTACGTGCGTCAGGAGACTCAATCGAGGGAGGGAAGCGCCCAGGAGAAAGGCCCAAGGCTTTGCCGGAGAGGGGAGGCCTTCCCTCTCCCCTTAGGATCCTTCGGCCCTTGTGACTGTGATGCAAGGTGTCTGAGAACTAAAAGATACAAAACATCCCCCAAGAGTGGCCACGTGAGAAAGGAAGCCCTTTCCTTCCTTCTTCCACCGCCTTCCGCCACCACCTGCCTCCAGCTGGTCCTCCTTGGTCACCATCTTGGGGTCACTTGGGATCCAACAAAACCTGGCACTCACTGGCTCCAGGCCCTTCTCTTTAAATGAGGCACATCTGGAGAAGGATGACAACTGCAGTGCATGCATGCTGAGGCCAGACTTATGTCAGGTGGGCAGAGATTTTAAAACAGAAAGGAGTGACGGGGGCTCTGGCCAACAGGGACGACAGTGGGCAGCCAGAGGGGCCGCCCGTCTCCGGCCCGTCCTGACCGTATGGAACTGTGGGCTTGTGAGACCTGTCTCCTTTCCGGAAGCTGGAAATCTGGATCCCTACATCACCGCCACCTTTTTATTTAATCTCACCAGCTCAGATTTGGTTTTGAGCCATAGAAGATATAGGCCACCTGGGGCGTCACTCCAGCCTGCACGCCTGAGTTTTCAGCGTCGGGGCGTATGCTAAAGCCCCTCTCAGCCTTGTCGCCGGCCCACCTGGATGTAGCACCTGCCTACCACCTGGTGGGCAGCCTCCAGCTCCCTGGGACTCACAGAAGCTAAGTGGCTTCCCCAGTCCCCGTCCATATATACCCAGAGACAGGCACTGCAGGGCCCCTTTTTCCCCTGTTTAAATCAACGTTTTTATATCCATGATACTTCTTTCCTTTTTAATTGAGGTGAAGTTCAGATAACATAAAACTTACCATTTTTACAATTGTATACAATGCAGAGACATTTAATAGGTTCACAATGTTACACACCTCTAGTTCTAAAATATCACCCCAAAAGGGAACCCCGTACCCACAAGGCAATCACTCCTCAACTACCCTCTCCCCCAGCCTCTGGCAACCACCAATCTTCTTTCTGCCGCTATAGATCTACCCATTCTGGTTAGTTCCTATAAATAGAATGTAACAATATGAGCCTACTTTGTGTCTGGCTGCTTTCACCCAACATGCTTTTGACATTCATCTGCGCTCTAGCGTGAATCAGAACCTCACTTCTGGTTCTGGTCGCATATTCCGTCGTACAGATGATGTACCGCTATTTGTTTACCCACAAGCAGCTCTTGCTTGAAATCCTCTAGAGCCAGTGGCTTCTTGGCTCCAGGACTTCAGTTTTGCCGGCGTGATCGCCTTGAGGCCCTCCCCTGCGGTCCAGGATCTGCGAGCAGGCGGGTAGATTTCACAGCCCCTCAGGTCACAGGCAAAGCTGAGCCTCATGCTTGGAAGCCCGGCCCTATCTTAATGAAGGACCCACTGCCCAGGGAGCCTGGCCAGCCTTTCCCGCCTCCCTAACTCCACCACCCCTCTGATGCCCACAGAGTACAAGGCCAGCTACGCCCGCAATCGCTCCATCCGCTCAGTGGCCATCGAGGTGGACGGCAGGGTGTACCACGTAGGCCTGGGTGATGCCGCCCAGCCCCGAAACCTCACCAAGCGGCACTGGCCAGGGGCCCCTGAGGACCAAGATGACAAGGATGGTGGGGACTTCAGTGGCACCGGAGGCCTTCCCGACTACTCAGCCGCCAACCCCATTAAAGTGACACATCGGTGAGTGTCCAGGTGGAAGTCGAGGGTGAAGGGGACAGGACAGACCTCAGCAGGGGCTTCCCACACCTCTTGAGCCCCTGGGCTGGGCCCCCTCCACCTCCTCTGAGCCACACGTGATCCCTTCTCTCAAGCAGGTGCTACATCCTAGAGAACGATACAGTCCAGTGTGACCTGGACCTGTACAAGTCCCTGCAGGCCTGGAAGGACCACAAGTTGCACATCGACCACGAGGTGAGTGGAGAGCAGGAGAGGAGCGTGCCGTCAGCCACCAAGGGCCTGGCAGGACCCCCGGCTCATGGTGGGAGGGCAGTGAGGCCCAACCCAGGGAAGGGGCTGGAGAGGTGAAGTGAGGTCCCCACAGATTCCTCCACCCAGGGATAGGCGTCAGTCCCAACATGAGACAGCTTGCTGCCCAGTCTGTCTGAGGGAGGATGGCTTAGCCACCTTGTCCCCCTTTTGACTTACAAGAAGTCTACGCTATGATGAGGCCTTTCATCAAGCCCAGGGAAGACACTGGAGCCGCCCTCGGGGCTCAGCAGTTTCCTCCGCAGGCCAGGCCAGGAAAAGGACTCGGTTCCCTTGCAAGGGCTGCCCGGAGGGGAAGGTGGGCTTCCTTCAGCAGGCAGAACAAGTCCTCCCCACCCAAACATGCCGGTGCTGGCCCTGAGGCCCGGGCAGGGCAGGCTGCCGCTGCTGAGCAGACACGGCAGCATGGGGGCGGTCACCAGGCCAAGCCTTTCTTGTCCAGCCGTGAAGGTTTCAAGGCCTCCTCTCCTGCCCCTCCCTCAGATTGAAACCCTGCAGAACAAAATTAAGAACCTGAGGGAAGTCCGAGGTCACCTGAAGAAAAAGCGGCCAGAAGAATGTGACTGTCACAAAATCAGGTGAGGCAGTAGCACAGGGACCTAAGACCCCATCCTCCTACAGGACAGTTCAGTTCATCCCCTCTTGTGATTGACCCCCTTTTTTTTTTTTAATCTTTTTAAATCTCCCCTCATGGCATAAAAAAAAAAAAAAAAAAATCCATAATTTACATCTCTATTGTCAGCCAGTGTGGCACACAGAACCGTTCCTCAGCCAGGCTGGCGCCCAGATTCCAGTACTGCTGGCAAGAGACCCGTGCTGGCTGTGCAGAGCCGGCTCCAGGCCGGAAAAGTGCCTCTGCCGATTGCCCTTTCAGAAAGCCCCCACGTGGTCTGAGGTCCATGTTCCTGGCTCAGGGATCCCCTGGCCCAAAGGACTGAACTCTAGAACAGCTGTGTCCAGTAGAACATTCTGTGCTGATGGAAATGGGCTATGTCTGCACTATGCCACGCGTGGCTGGTGCACACTTGAAGTTGTGGCTGGTGTCACTAAGGAGCCGAATTTTTTATTTTGCTTAATTCAAACTGAAGTAGCCACCTGTGGCCAGTGGCTCCCGTACTGGACAGCACAGCTGCAGAAGCCCTGCCGTCTTTCCAGAAAGTCTTGCAAAACACAAGCTCCCCTGTGCTGGCCCCAACCAAGCGTGAGTAGGCAGGGCGGTGAGGGAACCAACCTCACGATGCTGAGGCTTTGATGTGTACAATTAACCATCACAAAAGGAAAGGAAAAAGGATGCTGAGGCTGACGCACCTAAAGCCAGGCCCAGTTTCTAGTCGTGGCTAAATTACAACTAACGCGACCTTCTAAAGTCTAGCAAAATCCCAGGAAGAGTCCTGGTGCACGCCTGGAGAATGAAGCCACCCAGGCAGGTACCTGCTGCCTTGGGGATAGGGTTGTACCCTCCCCACCACCATCCCAGAAGGAGGAACAGGGGAGTGGGGCAGCAGCAACACACGGGAGTCCCAGAAACCACAGCTTGCACGTGCCAGCGGAGCCCTCTGAGCCACTCCTGAAGCCTGGGGCTGGGGGGTCTGTTACAGCTACCACACCCAGCACAAAGGCCGCCTCAAGCACAAAGGCTCCAGTCTGCATCCTTTCAGGTAAGGGCAGCTTGAGGTCCTGGGGAAGAGATGCAGAGGCCTAGCATGAGGAGGTGGCCCTCCCTTAAGCTAAAATACAGAAGAAAAGGAAAGAAGTCCAGGCCCTTCCCTGGGAAGTCCGCGGTGGCCCTCGAAGAGGCCTTATTTCCCAATCAACACTGTAAATGGGGTTGCGGCAATTCCACCAAGCAGGGCAGGACACAGGAAGGAGGGGAAAGGGATGCCAACAGGAGTCCCAGTAGCTGCCTGGCTCTGTCCCCAGCTCTGTGCCCCCTTGGGAGTTAAAGTAGAATGACAGAAGATCCAGGTTCTGGTCCCAGCTCTGCCTTGGATCAGCACTGGGACTTGGAACCCTGAATTGCTATGCCCATGGCTGCTGGAGAAGCCTCAGCCCAGCCCCTAGGTGGACAGGAAGAGCAGAGACACGGGGTCACTGATCCCTCAGAGGCCCAAGGCGTGTGTGGCCCTCTGCGCCCATAGGAAGGGTCTACAAGAGAAGGACAAGGTGTGGCTGTTGCGGGAGCAGAAGCGCAAGAAGAAACTCCGCAAGCTGCTCAAACGCCTGCAGAACAACGACACGTGCAGCATGCCAGGCCTCACGTGCTTCACCCACGACAACCAGCACTGGCAGACGGCGCCTTTCTGGACACGTGAGCAAGCCCAGGGCAGAGGTGGACAGGCTGGGGCCCGGGGCGCCAAGAAACTTCTCCACTTAAGTGACTCAGACCTCTCTCAGAAAGGGGGTCCCTGACACCAGGGGTCCACAGTGCTTGGGACAGCCTCTTGGCATTTGATGAACTGGTTTCGGGGGCTGTCCCTGATGGGAATCACTATTGGCAGATGGGGCTTCCTCCCGCAGGCACTCAGGACATGCTCTCTCTTCCTTGCCAGTGGGGCCTTTCTGTGCCTGCACCAGCGCCAACAATAACACGTACTGGTGCATGAGGACCATCAACGAGACTCACAATTTCCTCTTCTGTGAATTTGCAACTGGCTTCCTAGAGTACTTTGATCTCAACACAGACCCCTACCAGGTACAGACAACCTGAGCTAGAGAGATGGGGGTATAGGTTACCCCAGTGCTGCCAGGTAGGCCACCCCCCCAACCTCAGGGAAGTCATGACAAATTATCCAAGTCCCACTGAGTCCCTGAGCCACTGGGAGTAAGTTGTGAAGCCGCTGAGATTGGGGGATTCCATGTTCAATCAGCCTTTTTTGCCTCCATCACCCTGTGTTTTGCCTCCATCACCCTGCATGTGTAATATATGTGGCTTCTTCCCTCTAACTTAACATGCAGCATTCAACCAGGCTTTGCCGGAACTTGTGAAGACTCCTAAAACCGTCAAGCTGTAGGATCAAGCCAGATATTACCCACTGCAGGGCCTGCACAGACCACACGGCTAATGTAACAGTAACACACTGCACCAAGCACTCTGCTAAGTGCTTCCGTACAGTAAGCCATCTAAACACACACACGACTCACGTGGCTCAGGACCACACAAGACCAGAAGGAGCAGTGACATGTCTGGTCATCGGAACATGTGGGCTCTTGTACAGGGACAGTGACTGCTGAGCTCCAGCACTAGAACTTTCCTGTCCTGTGGCCTTGGTATTGCCCAGGCTTTGACCTTTCAAGAAAAGCCTGAAATAATTTTTTAAATGAAATCTGATGTTTAAATATCAGCAGCACAAATGCTTTAATTACTATATAGGTGTCCAGTCTTTCTCCTTAGATAGGTTCACCCTCATACTTTACCAAAGGGGTGGTAAGTCCGTCACCGGTAGCTCCCAGACTACACAAGAACCCAAGTCACTTACCCATCCTTTCATCAAATGGCTGCTTTGCAATCAGGAGGATTGCAAATCTGAATGAAGGCTGCTGAGAAAACCAAGACTTGGAAGGCTTTCTTTCCGAGCTTGGGAAGTTTCCTGACTAGTGGCTGCAGAACTCCAACATTAAATACAGACAGACATGGTGTTTATTCTCCTGAGTTTTCATTCTCATTAAGAGAGAACCTGGTGGGACTCGAAGCCAAAAGGTCACCTAACTCTTCCAAATGCTGGCTCTTGCAGAAGTTGAAGTTGGAGTAAGCAGGTCACCAGCCCCTAGCACCTTCCACCTGCCTGAAATATGTCCCCTGGTTGGTAGAAGAAGGGCACGGGGAGAGTCCCTGTACTTACCTTGTTGACAGACTACCCTTTTTGCAACTAGCTGATGAACGCAGTGAACACACTGGACAGGGATGTCCTCAACCAGCTACATGTACAGCTCATGGAGCTGAGGAGCTGCAAGGGTTACAAGCAGTGTAACCCCCGGACTCGAAACATGGACCTGGGTGAGTAGGCACCCCAACATGGGGCCTTTGGAGAGCAGGGTAACCAAAGGAAGGGACTCAGGAGGTGGTGTCTACCCCAAGAATGAGCCCGAAATGACCAGGCTTTGGGAAGTGATGCAGTTCCAGACGAGTCATGGGAGCCCCTGTCCATAGCAGGCAGATGACCTTTGACAAGCTGTGCTTCCTGAGAGAGGAACACCAGCATCAGCTGTCCAGGAAACACACAGAATTCCCTCGTTTCATTTCCTCCCTTTTGTTCACTCATGCATTCAACAAATATTTCCTGAGAACTTAGACCTGAAACCATGTTGACTAAAGATGACCCCATCCTGGCTGACTTGTGTGGAGCCGGTGTTGTCCTAAGAAGAGCAGTCCACAGCGGGAGGCCTCTGGCTTGTATGGAAAGAGTAAAACTGGATGGTAGAATCCAGTGTGACTGGGGAAAGGCACCACTTAATAAAACCAGGGTCAGACCTCTGAACTGAGTCCTGAAGAGTAGGACGCAATCGACCACTGAGAAAACGTGGAGGGCTGGCGTTTCAGGAAACTTGAAGTGTGAGGAGCAGAAAGCAGCCTAGGTGGTACAGCCAGCACAACTGAGGCCAGTGGAGAGTGGCAGGAGGGCATCAGGATACCCTGTGAGAGGCCGTGGTAGAGTTGAGATTTCATTTGAGGTGTATCAGGAAGCCAATGGAGGGTTTTAACCTGGGCACTGACATTGCTAGGTGGAGAATGGGACTTTATGGGAGCAAACAGCGAAGATGGCACAGTTATCCAGGGAGAAATGATGGTGGCTTGGACTAGAGGTGGGAGCAGTGAAGATGATGGATTTCAGATTCAGGTGGTGAAGCCCCCAGTAGAATATGGTGATGGGAGGTGCAGGATTAGGAGTCCCAGGTAAATCCTGAGTTTTGTTTGGGACAGGACAAAATCTGCAGTTTTAAATCTAGAATGCCAACTAGATAGAAATTTTAAGATGAAAAAAGCTGACCAGGCATGGTGGCTCATGCCTATGATTCCAGGGCTTTGGGAGGCTGAGGTGGGAGGATACTTGAGCCCAGGCGGTCAAGGTTACAGTGAGCTATGATAGCGCCACTGCACTCCAGCCTGGGAGACAGAACTGTCGCCCCATCTCTAAAAATAAAAGTAAAAAAAAATTAAAGCTAAAAGAAAAATGAAGTTCACTTACTAGTGAGAGAGACTGGCCTAAAACCTTTGATATTTGAAGTCCCTTGGGGAAGGGACTGTGTCTAGGAGGACGCCTGGAGTTCATGTCAGGAACATGGCTACACAGCTTAGGAGGAAGAATTCAGATGCCACAGTCAGCTCTAGTTATGAAGAGGGGAGAGCTACTGTGTTTACAGAAGATGTTGCACTAATACTTCCTGGTGAGGAGCCTGATATGATTGGAATTTTCACTAGTGGCTTCCTAACCTCTGCCACTCAAGCGCTGCTACTCTTGTGATCAAAGTGCAATGACAATAAGTCACTGTGTGCCAGGCTGTGTGCTGAGCGTTTTACATGTGTTAGCTGATAAGCTTTTAAGGTGAATCTTCTTATCCTCATTCTATGGAGGAGTAAAGTGAACAAGGTGGGCTGACCCCAGAGCCCACACACTCGATCCTGCCATGTCCTCAGGAAAACTTCCCCAGAGCCCACACCACCCTTCATTTGTTCTCATAATGAGGATGGCGGGGAAGTACTAATGCACATCTTTCCCTAAGAAAACACTTGAATCCATTTCGTGTTTTACATTAATGCCTTGTCCGGTACACTGCTGTTCTCACTATAATCTGTGCTTGGTAAACTTGAGCTATTACTCCCTCCTGCACTTGGTCAGGGCTCTTGGCTTTCTGTCCTCTGGAGCACAGATGTTCAGGCCCGCGTCTACCTCCCTCACCATGACTAAGGTCAGCACTGAATGAAGCCATCAGGGTCCTAAAACTGATCGTGGTGACTCTGGATTTTAGGCAATCTACAAGGCTACCTAGGAGACTTAGGGCAGGTTCCCCTCATAATTCCGTCTACTCTTGAATAGGGAACACTATCAACATCATGGGATTGTGACAAAAAAGTGTAAGATGGTTTTCTGGTGTGTTGGGGTAGCTTTGCCTGAACTATCTGCTCCTGTTTTGTTTTTTTATTTCTCCTCTATTTAGGACTTAAAGATGGAGGAAGCTATGAGCAATACAGGTATTTCTTTTTATTATTCAAGCCTAAACAAAGTTATCCTATCTTGGCCCATCCTTCAGTCTCATCTCTGTGAGTCCGCACCTGTTATGTTGAGACACTGCCCTTCCTCTTGTCTGCCCGAGACCAGGATCACCCACCAAAGATAGCTGTCACCTAGGAGACCTTCTTTGTATAGTTCTTTGGGGACTTTTTCTTTCTTGGTGATGGTTAACATTCATTCTCCTTTTGACACTTGAAAACTTAGGCAGTTTCAGCGTCGAAAGTGGCCAGAAATGAAGAGACCTTCTTCCAAATCACTGTGAGTTGAGGAACCAGCTTACAAATAGAGATATGGTTCTGACTGCTTCATTTTGCCAATGCTATTCTATTTGCATGCCATTTCTTACATACCACCCTTCATTTGTTCTCATAATGAGGGTGGCGGGGAAGTACTAATGCACATCTTTCCGTAAGAAAACACTTGAATCCATTTCATGTTTTACATTAATGCCTTGTCCAGTACACTGCTGTTCTCGCTATAATCTGTGCTTGGTAAACTTGAGCTATTACTTAGCGGTTGAGAAGCATTTAAATATTACAAACTGCCAGGCATCTTGAAGGCTATGGCTGCGAAAGTGCTAACTGGTATACAACATCAGCAGTAGGATGGCCTCATTAAATGGTTTCCAAAAAGCCCATGCTACAGCTACAGACTCTCACTCCAGTGCCATTGGAGGCTGGCAGGGACTGAGACTGGCAACCTGGAAAGTTCACGTCTATTCTAAAGGGAGCAGGCCAGTTTGCTCCCCGCAGGAATGGGCTGAGGTTTGCCAGATTTTCTAATTCACTGAGCAAATCCAAAAATGCAGGTATGTGTGAGAATTCTTTATCATTATCATCTCATTTGACATTAAGTTAACCATGTGGGCAAACTACCCTCCTTGGTAAGCTGCCATTTGCAACCTCTGGTCTACTCATTTATTCCTTTATATGCATATAAACCTGTGTGGCTTTAATAGGACATTAGTAACAGGCCACCTAAGCCTTTCTTTGGTGCTTCTAGAATTAAGGTACAGAATCTTTACATATCACAATCTCCTTAGCCACTATTCTATCCAGATCCTTAAATGCCATCCTTGCCAGGCATTGAGTGTATAAGTAAACAACTAAAAATTGAGGTGACTAGGTGGTAGCAATCCCTTTCTAAGTAACCTAGAAATATTCATTCTCAGCAGCCTTGAAGCAAAGCTTCCTCAGCTATAGGACTGATTAGGAAGTCATGATAAAGACCGTGATAGCTAAATGCTAAGATGAGTTTGTTTCGTTCTTTAGGGGACAACTGTGGGAAGGCTGGGAAGGTTAAGAAACAACAGAGGTGGACCTTCAAAAACACAGAGGCATCAACTGACTGCACAGGCAACGAAAAACCATGTGGGTGATTTCCAGCAGACCTATGCTATTGGCCAGGAGGCCTGAGAAAGCAAGCACTCACTCTCAGTCAACATGGCAGATTCTGGAGGATAACCAGCAGGAGCAGAGAGAACTTCAAGAAGTCCATTTTTTGCCCCTGCTTTTGCTTTGGATTATACCTCACCAGCTGCACAAAATGCATTTTTTTCGTATCAGAAAGTCACCACTAACCCTCCCCAGAAGCTCACAAAGGAAAACGAAGAAAGCGAGCGAGATTTCCTTGGAAATTTCCCCCAAGGGCGAAAGTCATTGGAATTTTTAAATCATAGGGGAAAAGTAGTCCTGTTCTAAATCCTCTTATTCTTTTGGTTTGTCACAAAGAAGGAACTAAGAAGACAGAGGCAACGTGGAGAGGCTGAAAACAGTGCAGAGAGTTCGCAATGAGTCAGTAGCACAAAAGAGATGACATTTACCTAGCACTATAAACCCTGGTTGCCTCTGAAGAAACTGCCTTCACTGTATATATGTGACTATTTACATGTAACCAACATGGGAACTTTTAGGGGAACCTAATAAGAAACCCCAATTTTCAGGAGTGGTGGTGTCAATAAACGCTCTGTGGCCAGTGTAAAAGAAAATCCCTCGCAGTTGTGGACATTTCTGTTCCTGTCCAGATACCGTTTCTCCTAGTATTTCTTTGTTATGTCCCAGAACTGATGTTTTTTTTTTTAAGGTACTGAAAAGAAGTTGATGTATGTCCCAAGTTTTGATGAAACTGTATTTGTAAAAAAAATTTTGTAGTATAAGTATTGTCATACAGTGTTCAAAACCGCAGCCAATGACCAGCAGTTGGTATGAAGAAACCTTTGACATTTTGTAAAAGGCCATTTCTTGGGAGTTTTTTGGTGTGTCTGTTTTTTTAACGTATTCAAGATACTACCAGTCAACATCTTTTTGGAAGAAAATGCCTTTGGGTTTAGAAGATTTTCTTAAAAGGGGAGTAGATGGTTGTAGATTGACTAAAGTCTACCATACTTCAAGGGACTACAGGTAAGTCTCATAGTATACCAGCTTTGCTACTTCATTTTTTAAAAGTATTAATCAATTGCAAAGAAATTCACCTTGGCCAACCCTTCTTTGTATATCAGGTAATCTAACCTGATACAAGTAGTTGACAGATTTCAGCTATCACCAATCCAACCCATTTCTCATTTAACAGATGACAGAGATAATCCCTAAAGCACCCACATTTGTTTCAATGCCCCCAACAGGCCAAGGCTCTCTAGCAACTCCCTAGTGGCGTTTTTTAACTTCAGAAACTGTTACCATAATTTGAAATAGACTTCCTTAATCTTCTTTACCCTTAATCCAACAGGGATTTAAAAAAAAAAAACAAAAAAACTCTTTAGGCTCCAATTTTAAATAGAAACCTTTATTTACAATGACATCCAAAATGGTCAGCAAAGCAGTCACAGCTCACCATCCCCATAAGTCATTTCATGTGGTTTTGATTCTTTGTAGGATAAAGAATAATTTCTATTTTTTTTTAAAGCAACACAATGTAAACTTGATTGAAACTGAATTCATTCTCAAGAGTGTAAGTCAATTCCTGAGAATTTAAATATTGCTCTCATATTTCATTCTTCAAAATTCCATATATTAGAAAGGAAGAAAGAAAACACCTGCTCGTGTATTAACAGTGTGCCCCTGGAGTTGAAAACAATTCTTATTCCTCTGATTAAATCAATCCTTGAGGTTTTGCTCCTATGAACCTAATTGTGAACAAAACTCACAGCTTCTGCAAATAAAAAGGGAACTGGGCAGGCATACATGTAACTGGCAATCCATTCTGTTTACTTTCAGCTGCACCTACCTCTGGATCAAAGAACTTCTAGGACATCAAGCCAATTATCTTCTGTAATACCCTACCCCTAATATAGATACCCCCAACTCACCTCAGATATTAAATACTGATAACTAAGTAGCACTGTTATTGATATTTACACCTTTCAATCCAGATGCAGTTTAGAAAAGTGGCATCATAATATGAACATTAACAATGTAACTTCCATTTTTTTTTAAAGGAAGAAACATGTATCTCCTTTATATCATTCTAATCTTTATAAAATATATATATTTTATTTATATATCTTTGGATTCAGCAAAAAAAAAAAAAAAAAAAAGTAGGTACTGGAAATATCCCACATTGTAAAAGCAGATGAAAAGATTATACTGTTCACCCAACAGATACCAAGGTTTGAAAAAATGGGGGGTGCTGGGGTGTGGAGAGGTAGACAGCAGGAGTACAAAGAATTATCTAAAAAAGATAAAGGGCAATACAGGTAAAAACAAATTATCTCAAAGACTGCACCTATTAAAAGAAAATCAAAATCTTGAGTTTGCACCAAATGAACAAGTAGAAAATATAAAAACTTACAATAAACTTCATTTTTCTACCATATAAAAAAGGGAGTGCTGCCTTCCAGTTAGCCTGCAGCCAGGTCTGAGGAAAGGATTGCAAAAAAATTTATTTTTTTTTTTTTAATAATTTTTTTAAAGTCAAGAAAGGTAAGAGCACCATTCTGTTTCTCCCCACACACATCGCTTAAAGAAGGTTCAGACACAATTGAGCTGAAAAACACAGAGACAGACTGACTTGGTTGTACCTCTGTCTCCAAACAGGAGAGTATACTATCTGAAAAGCACAGGCCACTACAATGGAAGTTTTCAGATTTACAATCTTAAGATATATTTTGAAGTTGGTGGGGGGAAGAGGGCAAACTCATAATTGTCTATACTGCTTTGAAACTAAGATCCACTCTAGTGGTGGATCTGGAAATAATCAGGATTCACTTGTAAGCATATCAAAGATATTAAATGATCTTACCTTCAGAGACATCTAGAAAGACTGACTAAATGTGTGAAATTCTTAAAATTACCTGGCTCTCAGTTATTGCTAGAAAATGACACCAAGGCTAGCAGAGACCTCTGAAATTCACAGACATTCAGAAACCCAATTCCTTCAACTATCTGAACCAAATGAAGTAACCCAGATAAAGGGAATTAAACTTCATGTTTCCCTTCCTCCCAACTGACTAAAACAGGTGTCAAAGAGAGGCAACAGCAGAAAGTGGCAGGGGGCAGAAAAGGGAGGGGTTTCAAAGGTGCTCAGTTAGACTGTGGCTCTGAATCACAGTCAAACTGGCTGTTCTGGGTACTGAGTTCCTTAAGAAGTAACAGTGACACTATTCTAATCCACAGGGACATAATGAAAGCATCACATTAGTATAATGAGGGGACAGCTGAGCAGACACCAGAAACCACACCAAGGATTCTACTCGAGATCTCAATGTGGGATTCAGGTCTTAGCAACCAAAATCTGAAAACGCTCCTAAAGGGGATGAAAAGGTAACATAATTGAACATACACACACACACACACACACACAACTCATGAATTGCTATTATTTTGAACTGCTTAAAATCCAAAAGATTCTCTTCAAATTGCTCGATTTTTTAAAATTCCTGATTTTTTTTTTTTTAAGTTTATTTCCCCATATCTATTCTTTCCCCCCAAATTAACAAAGTGCTTAGTTCTGGTAGAGGAATTTTTAAAAAATTAAAATGCCTACATCTAAACAAATAATCTCTTTAAAAAGCATTTAGATTAAGAGATTGAAGAGCGAGGCATCTAAGGCTGGGGGTGGGGAAGGAAAAGCTGTGGAGCACTACCCCTCCGCCAGGCCACGGAAGTCAAGGGATGTCTCTTCCACTGGTAGCCTCTCCACACACAGCTTACTGAAATCAACAATGTTAAATATTTAGCTTCACAAACTCTGTAAAAATGAGTTGTTGTGACCTACAAAAAAAGGTATATACATATTTTACATAATACAATATCTTAAAGGTCGTATTTACAAAAAAGTCTATTCACAGAAACACTGCGAGATTCTGATTCAGAATGCAGTACCTGGCCTTGGGTTTTCAGAAGTTTATTTTCAAAAAGCATTATTGCTCTACCATATAGGCAAAGGGTGACACCAGTACTTTAAAAAAAAAAAAAATCATAGTTCTTGTCCAACACGTAAGTGTAGACAAAAACCAGGAATGTGTTTCACTATTCCCTCAAGACCTCAAGAATATTGCATTTATCCATTACTTTTTAAATAAAGTGCACTCAGCTGCACATTAGCATGTGAAAAGTTTGCTACTGCTGCAATTAAATACTGTCATCTCATTTCCCTTCTGCAAAGCCATCTGGACATCCATGACAGTTCCTGGAGGTGAAGTATTACAGCACATGAACGGCAAATGAAAACCTTCATTAGGAGAAAACCTAGGACAAATAATAGGGACAGAGCAACTCAACACCATCAGTAAAGGACAATTCAGAATCATCAGTTCCACTGGACAGAGGGTCAACACAGAACTACTTGGTAGTGACAAAAACACCTGAGGGCTGGGACTATGCTCTTTGTCCAATACTGCAACTAGAGAAACCAGATGTTCTAATCTCTCTTGATTTGTCCAATGTTCTCTGGCCCACCTATGTGTATTTAAGAGACTTTGGCTAGCAAGGCAGAAAAAAGTGACACAAAAGTTTTATGATCAGTAGCACTCCATATCTCCAGAATTATATCCCTAGGAGGTGGAATGCCAAAAAATATTTCTGTTTTGAACACCATGATACACAGCAGGAGGAGAAGAGAAAAAAAACCAGGTAGATACTGCCCTTCGGCTTAAAATCCAGTCCTGCTCAAATGACATCACTTAAAATACCCTTGACGGAGCTCAAAGCTGGTCCTTTCTTCAAAGATAGATGCCTGGAACAATGATTCCTTCCCAATAATCCTAGTGCAGTGTCATTTGTACAGTGGTTTCCTTAAGAGGTCCTGGTGCAGAGATGTCAGCAGTATTTCTGTTAGCAACCAGAAAAACTGAGTAAAATACATGCTTTACACAACAAAAAAATCCATGCCCACATTCATGGCTTATAGTGCAGCTCTGGCTGAGTGATTCAGGTTCCTGAGATCCCATCTTACAATGCAGCTTGGCTTACCAAAAGTATCCAATGGCCCAATGCCTTCAAACCAAGTTTTTTCAATTACTATATTTTAAGTTATACATTCAAGTTAAAATATACCTAGGACATTCTGATTATAGCTGAGGCTTTAGTTCTATCCAGAGAACAAGAAAAACTTTTTGAAAAAGGTAAGGAATCGATTTCATACCTGATCAGGGCCCATAGGCATGCCAGACATGGGCATGGGGTTCATGTTCATCTGTCCCATGTGACCACTGCTGCCATTCATGTGTACCATACTATACACTGCAGGATTCCCCTGGTGGGCAAACTGCTGCTGGGAAAAGGAGCTGTAAGTAAAGAAACGGTAATATTACCTCTGGAAGTCACTTTAGTGACAAAGGGCATGCCCACAGAAACTACTACAATTGTGTCAAGCATTGCTATACTTAAGCTGGGAATGTCAGAGAGAAAACTCCCTGACAGCCTGTGATCCATTTTTCACAGCTTTCTGTACTAGATACCCTAATAGATAATGTGCATGCTTGAAGAACTCTCAAAATGGACAA